AAAAACCCCAGACATAGCCTAAATTTATACAATCTCAAAATACTAGGAAAAAAATGGATTGAAGATAGAAATATTTTAATGGCAATGGTGGTAAATGATGAGAATAATTTTCAGAGAAATTTCCCCGGACAGCTTCAGTCAAGATTATAAGTCCCACAAAAACATTTGGAAGTGTCTGGGAGACCTTGCAGGAGTCTCAGGGTACTTATACGGACCTACAGRAAAGATGGGGAGGGGCTTGGGTGATARAATAGTGGTACAATGAGGGGTAATGTCCCTAAACTGAAAGAGAGAAGATTTGGATTAGACATTAGGARGAAATACTTCCCTKTTGGGGTGCTGAAGCACTGAACAGGTTKCCCAGAGTAAYTTTGGATGTCCCATTCCTGGAARTGYTCAAGGTCAGGTTGCATGGGGCTTTGTCTTGTGGAAGGTGTCCATGCCCATGGTAGGGCAGCTGGAAACAGATGGTCTTTAAGGTCCATTCTGATCCAAACCATTCTGTGATTCKTTGACCTCGTCTCAGTGAGTGTTTCCAAGCATGGAATCTGTGTGTAGGGAGCCTGAGCTCATATTGTTAATGGCGTAAGGTCTACCCTACTCTCATCTTCTTGATTTTAGTTGCCATCTAAAAAAGACACATAATCCTATAGATGTCCTTGCATTTCCTTTTTTTAAGATATACACACGGAAAGAGATGGTAAAAAATGTGGGTGTAAAGCTTGTATTTATTTTGAGGCCCTGAAAATCACTGCATGACAGAACCAAGTGCTAATACAGTGTTGTGTTCTCATTTGCAGCAGACTAGAAACAATAAGAATGTGTTCCTATGCACTGAACCCTGGACTAATACCCCTTTTGGGCTTTTCAGCTCAAACTTGGTACTTCAGTCCAAGTGACCTTATCTCCAGCATTTGGTTCAGAGGAAGATCACATGTTAGGTAAAGTAGACTAGGAACGAGATGTACAGACCGAAAAAAAAGATTAAAAAAAAATAAAAATAACAAAAAGAAACATCTGGGAAGAAAAATAATAAACAAACTGAGGGAGAGCATATTTCCTCTCTGAATTAAGCCATGTATGATCTATTTCTGGCTTCTTAGCTATATACAAGGTTAGCAGCAGGAGATTTATCACTCTGTCACTATAGCACTTTCTCTGTATGACTGGCTGACTTTTTTTTTTGGTAAGYGAACGTAGTGCTTGTGAAATGTGCCAGACTGACACTCTGGGAACTAAATTCCTCTGTTTATTCACGGATCATGCACAGGATGCAGTAAGCCTTCTAGACAGCCAACATTTTGATGTTGCCATAGCATTCCCATGRAACATCATTGCTGCTAAAAGTGTGTCCAGGATTACTCAAACTGGAGGGGGTGAGATTACCATCAGTTTTAACTCTCTTGAAGCTCCACAGTATTTGCACAACCAGTTTCAAGTGGCATGGGGATTAGCAAATTAGAAAATGGTAAAGAGAGCGAGTCACACTTTCAGAGCCATCTGAACCAATTTATTAACAGTATCAGTCCAATGAAATCTGTTTTAAATAACACTGAAAACGTGGTTTGTAGGAATCAAGAATACAGATGTGCCTGAGAAAGGRAAAAATTAGGTGTCCTAAAGCCAGGGTTATCTAGAGCACTGCAGTTCCACGTAGATACAGTTGAGTAAGTTGCAAAACTGTTATCTCAGGAGCTAAAAGCAGAAAACTGTGTCAGCTTTGCAGTGTCACTTAAGCACGTGAGCCTATCTGGAGCAAGACCCAGTATTGTTATAAAGTGCTCCAAGTGTGAATGAGAACAATCATTTGTCATACTGCTGCAAAAATCCAAAATAATTCTTAACATATCTATCTAGGGAAAATATCTGTGAAACATGTAAAAAGATGACAGTGGTTTTCCTTCCKCACAGATAAATGGTTAGGGCTGATTTAATTTCACATTTTAAGGTCATGGGATTTGCAGAGATCTGAGAGAGGCTGTATTTCACTTCACTGAAGTACTTGGCTGAGGTAGTTTGTAGTAGGGATATAGGTATAGAAAAAAATACCTGGAAGCTCTTTAACCTTGCAAAGAAAGGTTAAATGATGAAGGTAAACAAAGGAACCTTCCAACATGAAAACAGATCCTCTTTGAGAGTAATCTCCTATTGGTACATGTAGATCTGATATCTGAACATAATTAAAAGATGCCTCTGAAATGACACCCAGCAAAGAGGCCWGGTAGGCTGCTAAGAAAAGTAGGTCAGTGGCAGTGAAGTCATGCTTAGATTCTCCCTCACGTCCACAAGGACAGCACTTATTTTGATTAGTATGAGAGTGACCCATTGCTCAAAACTTCTAAAATGGAAATTTCCCTGCCAGTACTCCACCCAGGCTAATGTTTAGTTCAGAAATCAAAGTGCCTCTACCCTGTCACAGAGAGGCACACAAAATCTATGGTCCAGTTCAAGTCTGAGATCAACAGAAGCATCCACTAAGTGATCTGAGCTACTGCCTTTGAGAGCAGAGTGAAAACCTGTCAAACCTATTTTTTTTGAAAAGGATTACAAATTATAAAGTAAAAAAAAACAACAAAAAAACAACAAAAAAACAACAAAAAAAACCCCAAAAAAACCCCTCAAAAAACAAACAACCAAATAAAAAAACCCTCTAAAAAAGGACCAAAAAAAGATAAATCCTGTTATGAAGGATAGTTAAAATAAATATAGACATTATGGGAATAAATGCAGTTATCTAGGAATTTGATAAGGCAATGTTATTTCAACAATGGASTTGTACRGGAAATAAACAACGTGCTGACAAARGACTTCTAAGGTTCTTAGAAAAAAAATGATAATTTCCTCAATAATTAACTACTTTATTTGCAGACCGGGGTGAAATTAGTTGTATACTGAAAAAGTAAGTGCTGTAATTTGTGTGTGACTACATTGTTATTTTCACATAATGAAGTAGCTACATTYTTGCTTCCAGTTCAAAACTGATTTTAGTCTGTAGATGCGGAGCCGCTGGCTTCACTTCCACAGTGATATTTTATAAATATTTGGACTTCATAGTTCACTTTTTCAACAACTGTCAATTACTTTAGTACAGTGACAACTGGTATTATAGAACAAAGGACTTCGTTATTTAATATCAGGCTTGCTATTGCCTCTGCCAAATGCACAGTAGTGTTAACTCTAAATATAACAATACATGGTGAATATTTAAATGCTCATCCTAAATAAGTTTTCTACACATAGGGTCTTCTTCAGTTCCAGTATTAGGCTGACCTTTCTCATTCTATGACACGGTTTCTGCTTCGGCTGCCTTCATGGAAAGACGAAAATCATATTCCAGTGAAGTTACCATGAAATCTCTCACAGATCAGATAAAACTTCCACGGCTTTAAGAGGGTGAAGGCTTTGGGTTCTGACCATCTGAAATAACTGAAGAAGTCAGTGCAAAAGGCATCAGTACRACATCAGGCCAGGCAAGACGGGTAAGCCACAAGCAATTCTTTGAAGGTAATTTTATTCCTTTTAGAAACAATCTACTACAAAATCTACAAAATCTACTGTGTTTTGGCAATCCACTATGGCAACACTGGAGGAAGGTAATAGGAAGAAAACAGATCAGTGGCCAAGATCAGTATTTCCAAATACAAATAGTTATTGGCTTCCATAGTGTACCCATCAGCCCTTGTTGGCTTCTSTCCCTCGCAAAATGGACTTTAGCCAAGAATTCGGGTCACACAGGCAATCAAGAAGAGTMAAAATGTAACAGTGACTGTAATTTGTTTAGACAAACTCTCTAGTCTGAAACCAATCACTTTAAAKTACAAGATTTCCTAAGCTCAGAAAAGAAAAAGGAAAGAAAAAAATAGTCAAAAACCAGGCTATGACACTTTTTGAGTGATTTTAAACCTGGGCWCCTCTTCACAGACAGAATATAAGATGGTAAGAAGCCTTATGTCCTTTCCAGAGAATACAGATCAACAAACATTTTCTTCCCCTCTATCTTGGGGAACTCTCAAAATTAGCTCAAGTAACATYGCTGTTTGCAAACAAAATGATCAATTTAGTATATAACTTATCTTCCCCTTTTTGA